GAATCGCCTAACGGAACGACTCATGCTGAGATCGACCACATTCTCACCAACCGAAGGTGGAGCTTACTCGATGTCTCTGTAGTTCCATCCTTCTGTAGTGGCTCCGATCACCGCCTCCTTCGAACGATACGACTCAGCCGAAGGCTGGAAAAGAAAGTCTGTCATAGTGCCGCGAGAAGGAAGGAAGTCGTTTATGACGGTAACAGGCTGGAAGAGCTCATATCAAGTTGTGACTGGCCCATCGAGGAGGACCCAACGTACGACTACGACCGGCTTCTGAAAGGATTGCGAGCCTGCGGAGGATGCGCCTTAGTGACTTCTGAGAAGAACTTGGACCGCATCTCGAAGACCACCAAGGAATTGCTCGAAAGAAGAAGATCATTGAGGCAGGATCCGAATGCAACTCATCTCGAGCGACTGATAGCCAACGCCAGTTGCAGAACAGCTTTGCAAGAGGATCTCAGGAAGTACAGGCAAGCCAAGATACTGGAAGCAGCCAAAAGAAGACGAAGTCTCAAGAAGTGCCGAAGGGACCCCTGCGAATATCACGTACCGCTGGCTGCACTACTGAACGAAGACGGGACTCCGACTTCTTCCCGATACAAGATGGAATCTATCGCAAAGGACTTCTACACCAACCTCTTCCGCTCATCAACACCCGTGCAGATGCCCGTTGTTCCCACTGGAGAAGTACCACCACGAATTCTACCTGCTGAAGTGCGTATCGCGATACAGACCATGAAGACGTCCACGGCTCCAGGACCAGATCAACTTTCCGTCGAACTTCTGCGAGCCGGAGGACACCGTCTACACGAGATTCTAGCGTCACATTTGACATCTTACCTTCAGAAGGAGAAGATTCCCGACCAGTGGAGAACGTCAAGAACCGTCCTTCTCTTCAAGAAGGGTGAACGGGAGGATCTTCGGAACTATCGTCCAATATGCTTGCTGAGTGTGCTGTACAAGCTTTTCACGAAGATTATCCTCGCTCGCATATCAAGGACACTGGATGAAGCCCAACCCCAAGAACAAGCTGGATTTCGCAAAGGATTCAGCTGCATGGACCACATCCAGACCGTTTCGAGGGTCATAGAAGTCTGCCGGGAGTACCGACTGCCTCTCGTCCTAACCTTTGTCGACTACGAGAAAGCCTTTGACACCGTCGAAACCAACGCCATCCTGTCTGCGCTAGTCGATCAAGGAGTGGACCCAGCTTACGTGAGGACGTTAGCCGACTGCTACAAGGACTGTACAACGACGATGCAGCTATTCCATCGCCCCCTGACCATACCAATCGGGAAGGGGGTCCGACAAGGCGACACAATCTCGCCGAAGCTGTTCACCGCGGCCTTGCAGTGGGTGATGAAGTCACTGGACTGGGACGAGAGAGGCCCACGAGTTGATGGGAGATTCCTGTCCAACCTTCGTTTTGCGGACGACATCGTTCTCTTCTCGAGCAGTATCACCGAAGCAGAGACGATGCTGAAGGAACTAAACGAAGTAGGGAAGAAGATCGGACTGCGAATAAATCGGAAGAAGACTCAGTTCATGAAGAACGCCCTTTGCGAAGAGCAGAAATGGAATTGGAAGGCACCCCGATTATGGAGACGTCTTCCTACGTGTATCTCGGAAGTTCGATGAACATGGAGAACGACTTGAGGGAAGAACTTGACAGGCAAAGAAGAGCAGCCTGGGCCGCTTTCGGGCCTCTGAAGGAAGCCACCGACCAACTGACGGACCCGGAGCTTCGTGCCCACCTGTTCAACTCAACCGTTCTCCCGGCGCTCTGTTACGCAGCTGAGACTTGGGCCGACACTGTAGCCACGTCGAAAGCTTTACGGACCACCCACAGAGCGCTCGAGCGCAATCTTCTGAAGATGACCCGACGCAAGCAACATCTAGTCGGACTTCGCAGCACGGATATGAGAAGAATGTCCCGTCTTCGTGACCCAGCGGAATACGTCGCGAAAGCCAAACACCGATGGGCCGGTTACATAATGAGAAGAACAGACGACAGATGGACACTAAGAACATCGGAGTGGATTCCTCGCGAAGCCAAACGTCCTCGAGGAAGACCACCGACGAGATCTGCAGACGTGTTCGTGGAACGGATGGACCAGCTGAGAAATCAGCTGGATGCGACTTTCGCCCCTGGAACTCGTGGACGCAGCCACCGACGACGGCCAAGAAGATCGTGGATGTCTGAAGCGAGGGACAGGGAAAACTGGCGACTTCTGTACTGGGGCCCGCACGTCACGTGAGGACGGGCCATCTAAGTATCTAAGTAAGTAAGTACAAAAACTATTTTCGATTTCTCCGTATTACCTACACGATGTTCACAAGAAGACTAATCTTTGACGAATACATAATTTGTTGACTCATTTCCACTCCGCGTATTTGAGCTAGCGGCGCCAAAGTGCCGCCATAAAAGAGACAATAAATCAAAGAAAAAATGACAATTCTGAGTGTGCTGATAAAGTTGCCGTAAACTTGCTGGTTTTTTGTGCATTTGCGACACCATTCAAATAGTGTTTTATACGCCCTGTCGTGTCCTACATATCGAGCAAATTTAGAGATTGTAGAGGGCTTCCGGAATTTTTCCAAATTGTGCAAAAAAGGTGTAACAGGGTTTATTTGAAAACTAATACACAGCTCCAAAATAAAGCCGAACCATTTACTTCCAAGAAAATACTTTTTCAGACGGGCGATCTTGCATGATACCTTATGGGCGGAGAGTGATATAGTGAAGTGAATTTAATTAGTAAGTAAAGTACTGATTTTTATTCACTCCATATCTGTACAAGTAGTCCTCATAAGAATTGGGAGCGATATTTAGGACTGCAATCTGATCTGAATCTAATTAAACTACCATTACCATCAAAAATACTTGCTTGCTCAATTATCTATCACAAGTACTGCGATAATTAGTCAGTTCCAAGGGGTGTAGGCCGAGACGCACGTTGTTGTCAAGGTACATTCGTACAGGATCCCTGCTTGTCCCCGTTCAGGCATTTAGGCCTCGGGCACCGTTTGCGCAATTTGCCGTCTGTCGTTTTCAATTACCTTGCATTTCGGTTGTAATAGTTAGACATGAGTGGTCTTGTCGGGAAGCTATCACGACCGGTGTTTCGTTGAGAGAAACGAGAGGCGGCAAAATCGCCCGAACTATGCTCGAGATCTTAGGCAAAAGGAGGACGGGGAGGGGGGGGGGAGAAGAAATCTGCTGTGTGGGCGATGTGTTTAAGCCAGTTACGCAGAGCAGCTACTGGATACTTCCTTGCAAACGTCTTCATTTCTAAGTCTTGAACTTATTTGATAGTCCAACTCAAACTCGGCCGTTGTCTCGTACGATGAGGGTCATAGTCAAAGATGTTGTTACGTCACTTCACAGCGTTACCCTGATATAGAATTGAAATTAATTTAATTGAAATTCAGACAAGGTGGAGAACAAAACCCATTGTTGCTAAAAAGAGCGTAGGAAGCACGTCAGTCATTTGCTTTGGCGGTGCAAATGCTCAAAGGGATAAAAACTAGCGTTGGACGACTAAATGCAAACCTGGGAGACAAACAGAAAAATTTGGATTATAACAGCAAAGATTGCAACTCAAACCTCCAATCAAATGGGGTTTTATTTCTGTTATATGCTGAACTTCTTTCAGCTCAACACTTGCTGCGCTTCCTTGAGTGAAATGAAAAAATTGAAAAATTCAAAACCATGTAATAGAGGAAAGTGATGGGAAGCAAGAGCTATGCTCATGTGCCACAAATGTTTATGTCGCCAACGATTTCAAACAATAGTAGCTTTTGCCCCTCCACCACGCTTTTCGAGAAAGCATACCATTTGTTAAACATCTCCGGCCTTGTTGTCAGTGTGTCATCTGTTACAAATTTTTTCTCTTTTAAGGCAGCTTAGAAAGATGCAGGAACTGAGAGAAGCTGTAGAATGCTAAAAGATTTGAAGTGCTTCTTAAGAGGCAGACAAGCATGCTTTGCTCCGAAGAAATTACCCAATAACAAAAAATCTTGCAGGTATATCTTCACGCATCAGTTTTGCGCGCTAAGTGGGATTTACATTTGAAATCAACACAGGTGACATTTCCTATGCTCTCTGTAGATGAGATGGTCAGCTCAAAATATAACAATTTAGAAACTACGCAAGGTATAACATTCTTGAAACAGCGCGCAAAGCAGTCCGCAAGAATCAAGTGTTTGAGTTTTTGAGGCCAATTATGAGCTATATATTCGCTCAGATCCGTTAACATTTTGATCTGCAGATTTATCAATACAAGGTGAGCTACCTAAACAATAAGTTGTGATGTCACTGACTATCAAATGTTCGCTACGAACTCTGAAGAAAAGAAACTGCCGCTACAGCGGAGAAAGAGATCGAACTGTTTAGTCTCTCTACAGTCACATTATCGAGGAAGCATTGCGCAATGGTACTAGCATCGAGTTCCTTTGTTTACAAAGGGAACGTTAGCCAACACTGAAAGGAAATTCAAGATGACATGGTCATGGTTTGTGGACTAAATTTGCTTTTGGACTGCTGTCAAATTAGATCACTTCATACCTCTACCTGCCTTTTGCAGATTATCTTTGCAAAATAATTTCAATATAGAAAAAATAAGAGAAAACCAGTCTTGCAATTTTGCAGCTGTGCAGAAACTGCCGCTGTTCAACGAATAATATTTTTCAACTTCTGCAGGTTCGTGGCAGTCGACAAATAACGTGCTAAACAAATAGGGGGACAGGAGGTAAAAGCAGACTCTGTCTTCAAAGCTTGAAAAATTTGGCGATGTGCCGCTTACAGTTGAATGATTGGGTTAGGCCGCAAGATAAGGACTTATTTTAATTGCAGAATTTCCTTTTATTTCTATTCCAGCATTCCTAGTATAAGAATTTAGGAGTATCCCATCATTAAAGCACAATGTTCTTTATTTTCTTCAAGTTGTTATATAGCTGTAGTCTTTATAAAACACATGTTAGATATCAAAACTTACATTATTCCAAACAAACAGAAAAATTCCTGTTGGCTTGCTAGCTTTTCGATAGCACTAAGAAAGAATTATTCAGTGGAACTTACTACAAATTTATCAGTGTTTTGTTGCTACTTTAGTACCAGACGAAAAACTTCAAAAGCTGTAGAAAAAGCTATGAATGAAAGCCACATTCAACTCTGTAGGGTATATTGGCGCTAAAGAGTACAAAACAGACGCTAACGAGATCCCAGCGGAACGACAAAAAGGTATTTTTGTTGAGAGAATCGAATGAACAACAATACAAGTCCAACCGGAAGTATTACAGTTACTGTCAAATGATGTATTATTTGTTTGAAAAGCTTCATTTGAAAGTCTAGCATCATCACTGCAGAAGCACGTGAATGCCACTGTTTTTTAATCAATTTTGGCAAATATCGGCAATATGAGGGCTAACATCGCCATTTCGTATTACAATAGTTATAAAATCATTTTGAAAACGACAAACCGTCTAAGCAAAAACATTTCTATTTTTTAGAAATTTTCGGAGAACAGGGTTATAGCTTTTAGATTCGCTCAATATAGGAAAGAGATTACGATAGTAGGATAAAGCAGCATCACTAGTAATGAACGGATAGTCCAGAAATAGCATTGCAATTCAAAGGTCTCGACAAAAACTCTGTCAGCAATCGATCGGGACGAGCCTCGTGGAGCGTATGCGCTTCATCGTGCTCAGGCTATTCTCAGCTTCATAATACCTCCTTTCTAATGATCTAAGTGCAACTTAAAATCGTCTTGGTATCACAGATCAGCTTTAATTACTGTCCCAGGCTCAACGAAAACCACAGTGAACTTGTGTGTTTCCAAAAAGTTAATGATATCAACAATTTCAGGTTCAATGGACAGGGAAAACGAATATAAAGGGTAGAATATAGTCCGCGTAAAGCGATACTCACAGCTGATGAAGTCGTCGAACCGCGAAGCCTGTAATGATGGTCTGTAGCAGGATCCGTCCTATGATTTAAGTTAGAAGGGGGTAGAGGAGGACAACAAAATTTATATCACAAAGATGCTTGGGGTTAGCCGCTCACTTCAAAAAAATTGTTTGAATGTTTTCAGAATTCTCGCGGGCTCGTGATATCGAGAATTCAAGAAAGGGAGTACTAATCTAAAAAAAAATTCTAAAAATTAATTCAATTGTACAAGTATAAATAAGTTTTGATTGTTTTGCATGTTTAGTCGAATGTCAAAAACCATATAAGCAGAGACATTGTCACATGCGTGCCCCCAAACATTGGTATGCCACGAGGCACATTTTTATAAGAATTTAACTTCAATTTCTATCAAACCTTCTTTCATGCTCAACTAATCTTCAAATTCTCTCCTTTAGTTTTAGCAACGTTGGTCGTTGCTCTTAGATTAAAGAATGGAGCTAACAGTGTGCCAAACACCCAAGACGATTTCAGAACACGACGAACCATAGAATTCGCAATTATTTCCGGTCAGTTTACAAGGAAAAGGAAACGTTGATGGATACAATGAGTAATAACCATTAACGTACGATTATAGAATGATGATTTGTAATTTGAGACTTTTCTATGAAGATCTCTGCAATTTCATGGCAGAGGAATCGTATATGCCACGTGCCGACTTGAATTCCCAGATGCATCAGGTGTTTATAAACGCTACAGATGAAATTAAATATCTCTTTGAATGTGAACATGGCCTTCCCTATTTGTGCACATTGGGCACGCGCCAAACTCGATCCACTTGTTTCCACTTCCCTATCGGTCATTTGTCCAGTGTCGAGAGCTGCCAATGGTTGTAATAAACAAAATGGCGCTCGAAGTTCTGCAATAGGATTATACACTAGATGGCGGACAGTGACGGTCGCAGGATCTCCGCCCGGGGGGGGGGGGGGAGGGGGCGGAAATTTTTTTCATTGAAAATATTTTTGGGGTGCTTCTCAAAATTGTGGGTCCATAATACAAGGGTGATTTGAATTTTTAAAAATTTCTAAAAATTATTCAAATTGTTTACAAGAAAAAACAAGCCACTTGCACATTTTTACAACCCATCAAGTAAAGCGACCCGTCGTCAGGGGGGAGGGGGGGGGGATCCTCCGTCCGCCACTGCTGATGACGGTCTATTGCAAACAAGCGTCACCAAGGTTCGACTCCGTAACTGAGCGAGCCCTCTATCCTCCGCTTCCGGTAAGCTGGTGTCGTCCTCATCCCTCTGTTAGGTGGGCAAAATCGAATCTGAATTTGAGCACGCCGGTTGCGGTAGAGTGCGGCTTCCTCAGCCTGTTGTTGAAATCTACGCATGTTTTCCTCCCGTTTTTTAAATTGTTGCGTGGAATTTTTTGTGTTAGCTATGTTTGTGTACAGAAAGGGCGATATCGTTGCTGAGCAATGTTTCAAACTGCTCTGCTCGTATTCTCAACTCTGATTTCAGATAAGCTCAAAATATGCGGATGAAAAATTCGCGATATAAATTCATAAAGCAACCCTCAAACGCTGTTGCTTCTCAAGAAAGGACTTACGAGCAATTTCCAATTTTCACCGTTCGTCCAAGACTATGTACTTAGAACTTACTTAGAACTAGAATCGAAGAAAAGGTACAGCAGTATAAAACGTTCTCTATAACAGAACACTTGTGAGTCATTATAATCCGAAAACATAATAATACGCAACGACGTGAGAATAAAAAGAAAGTATGCGTAGGCTTGCACTGCAGGCTGAAAAAGCCGCGCTCTATCGCACCGGTGCGCTCAGATTCAAATTCGTTCTTGCCTATAGTTGACTGCACGCAATCGACCGGGCTGAATGCCCGCGAGCGTGTCTCTTACGGGCTAACATTGGCATTCGCGGGCATGAGTCAACATCGCCAGTACTCGGCAGCCGCGTTGCAGGCACGATCGCGTGCGTTTAACCTACAGCGACCCGGGCAATTTCGTGCTCGTCTTTACGTAGCGACCAATGGGGTAAGGACAACTATAAAAGAACTGAGAGAAAACCTGAATTGGTAATCGGCTGGCCTCCGTAAGTCACTGTAATAGGCTCGCACGGACTCAGTAGCCCCTTCGACTATGAAGTAGAGTGCGTTCAGCGCATAATCGCAGAGGATATTAAAGACGCCGAGTCCTTTACCTTTTATTTCATCTCCCTTCAAAAATCACTGATCTTCCGCGAAGCCTTTGGAATGAGTCGTTCTTTACCTTTCATTCGTGTTGGTTAAGCCTTGCATGACCGTTTGTAGTATTTGACTATCTATACCTCAGCATTTTACTCGAAGGCCACTGCAGCTTCTCCGTGCTGTGAAGAACGATATAACGATAACGATAACGATCGAAAGGTGTATGTAGTGTTTAGATATCGATAGGCACCGCTTTTCAGTGTGCTGATGCTATTCTGTTTAAACAGCGCAACATCCTCCGATTGGGAGTGGTCCATATCCATATTCTCGCGTCATTTGTAATTTAATGTGTGAGACTGCACACTACACGCTACTAGCAACGGCACCCTTATTCTTACTAGTAACTTTTCAGTGAAACACTTCCTAATCTGATGAGTTGCAGAATTATGTTCTAGTGATTAACATACATTCAAAAAAAAAAACAAGAAAGGCCAATTCATAAGGAAAAATCACTGAAAATGAGCAAGCTCTAGTTTTGCAGTTCGTCAGCTAGCGCACATAGCGTGCAATGAGCATATTAAATTACGAATGACTCGACGGTAGTTAAATCGCGCTTGTTGAGTTTTTTATCTGTCTTATATTTGTCTGTTTTTTAAGTTTTGTTTCGCTTGCATCTGTTATTTGCTAATGTGTTGGTCAATTTTAAATGCAAATTTGCGCTCATTTGGTCGCTTCGGCACGTCATGTGAAGCTTTTATTACGGTGGTTCTAGGCTTTACAGTAGCCTAAGGCGAAATAGCGTCTGTTGAAGTGTGTTATACAGAACACATAGCTAATACGCTTTATGAATCAAACGACATGCACGTATTAGTGCAGTGGTAGAATGCTAACAATAATAGGCGTGGCTATATAAGTTACTAGGCATCTGGGCAGTAAACACACTTATATCAAAGCAGGTCATGCTTACGGGGAGACGGCCCTTCTGAGCCCACCTTCCCCTACAGTAATCTAGAACTAGGACGCGCGCGCATGCGCTGCGATGACTGCGGACGAGTGCTCCGCGAAGGGCTCGTATTTTCGAAAATCACCAACTCCTTTCGTGCGGCTGTTGCATTATGCAATGCAAACCAACCACGCTGATTTCAAGTAAACACAGCTACCATCCTCTGAATGTTTGGTATTCTGAGCCCTACTTCCCAGCAGTATGTTTATGATTTCCCTACTTCCAAGCAGGTATGTTTATGATTTATGGGACATTTCCGAAGTCTTTTCATTTCCATGATTCATAAATAACTTCTCATGAATCTCCTTTGAATTCTTTCGAACTTTTTTTTCGCTTTTTTCCACTTATATCCCTTGTGTGTGCGATCCTTATAACCTCGTGCATCGTCACATCATATTGCTAAGGTGAGCTGCTTGATGTTATTGAGGAAAGCCCACGTAGTCAAAGTTTGTGTAACAACTTTTCATAAAGGCCAATTATAACTTAAATTTGTGATCTACGCTAATTCGTTATCAAATGCGTATTTCTTTCTGACATCCCAGTGCATCTCTGTAGCTTTCCAGAAAATTATCATCTCCTTAAAATTCTCATTCCTAGTAAAATTTACGAACGTGCTTTTGAAATTTTTAAGCTTCAAAAAGCATGATGCGTGCAGCAAAGAAAAGGTCGCTACCAAAATCAATCCATGTAGATCACGCTACCAAATGAAGGTGATGCATTTTTATTTGATTGCGTTTTTGATATGGACGGTGTAAGAAAAACTTCATAAAAAAAACTGAAAACTCATCATAAAAAACGTATGCTTCCCTACTGGCATGCACGTAGTGCACATTTCAATTGAATGTGACTAGATGATGCTGCAAGGAGGCAAACGTAGGAGAGTAGAGCATGCAATCGAACTAAAAAAAACCAGTAAAATAAGTCGAAAAAGACTTGAAAATGTCTCATAGGTCAAAAACATACCACCTCAGAAAGTAGCCGGCGATTTAAGTAGTGTAGAGTAGAGCGAATAACTTAAGTTATTGAATTCTAGGGAATTTGGGGGAATTAGGAGTTTCTCAGAGAATTACTTCCAGAATCTCATTATGGAGTAGGTTACCAGCGATGTGAAACTCGTCCGCCTCCGCAGCGCGTCTGCCCAGGTCAGCTGCTCGCTCCCGCGAGCTAGCCAATCATGGAGTGACCTCTAATTAGCGCTGACCTCTTATAGCCGTCGCGATTGGGGCAGGTTTAGAAGGGCCTACACCCATGCTTATGGCATGACCTTTACGGTACTTATTCAATGAGATACAGGCGAAGTGATATAGAATTAAGGAGGTGCCGACAATATCGCCACAGCTTTGATTTTTGAAACTAACTACTTTCCCCATTTAGTGGATGCAAAAAACATATCTACACTTTCCATCACATCTGCTGGCCAAAGCAAGCAGAATTGCGATACAATTCGGAGCTGTAGCTTGCGTTTTAACATGTTAGGCTATCTTCCACTAGCAATAGAGCGAGCTGTACTTTGTACATGGAAAGATCTTGGAAGTGTTGAAGCCTATTTCAAAGGCATTGCGGCTCCTAATCTCTCTCTCTATGAGAAACCGTCATGTGAGGTTGGCACCTGTATTTTATGAATAAACTAGTTGGCTTACCCGGCTCCGCCGTATGTTCCGAATAGAAAATTCCATTTCTTAACCGATCCGAACCAAACTTGGCACACATACACTTCGGGCCCCGGCGGGTGTCACAGTCCACTTTTCGTTATCGATTGATGTCGTTTTTATCGATTTTTTGCAAAATTTAAGCTAGGGGGCTGGGATTTGGCACAGGGGGGTAATTGAGCATGCTGATTACGAATACAATATTAGTTTTCAAAACCGTGCATTACTTTAATCGATTTTATCGATTTTTTTGCAAAATTTGAGCTAGGGGGCTGGAATTTGGCAGGGGGTGTAATCGAGCATGCTGATCACCCCCACGGGGGTGATCAGCATGCTCGATTACCCCCCTGTGCCAACTCCCAGCCCCGTAGCTCAAATTTTGCAAAAAATCGATAAAATCGATATCGATCGATGACGAAAAGTAGCCCATGACACCCGCCGGGGCCCGAAGTGTATGTGTGCCAAGTTTGGTCCGGATCGGTTCAGAAATGGAATTTTCTATTCGGAACATACGTACACACAGACATACATACATACATACAGATAGACAGACAGACAAACAGACATTCAGCTTTATATATAAGATTCATAATTTTTCTCTTCTTGGATAGGGTGCATACACTTGACATAAAAGGATATGGATAGGCAGCTACAAAGCGGCAAACTGTTGGCTTTTTGATAACGAAAAAATAGATCTAAGCATCTTCTGAATCTGATCAAATCGTGATTTTAATGACACAAATGAATGCCACCTGCAGCCTGAAGCAAACATATCAACACGAAAATGTGCATAGATGAATGATGTTGAATTTACTTTTACAAAAAATCTATGCTCGTCTTGATGTTTTGATATATGCTTCAAATGGCTTCATTTTCTACAAGAAGATCCAAAAACTGAGTGTCTTCTACTTTGCTGATAAAAAGCAAACAGTTTGCGCGTTTTTGTAGCTATTTGATTTATGCAGAAAAATGAATGCGCCATATTCAAGAAGAAAAAATAATAGAGTTAGGTGCAAGCTTAGGTAGATGCCAACTCAATACATAAACCTGCCTTCCGCCCGCTAGGCAGCTCAGAAAGAGCCATGCTTGCTCACCTCGCATTATATGCATACTATTCAAAATGTTATATACATTGATTTGTTTGAGCGCGAAGGAGGTTTATTTTTATTAGAGTACTTCCAACAGTTAGCCGTTCTAAAGCAAATCATGAGGAGAGGCAGCAGAGCTTTGTTGCAGCTGTTGGATCGGTATCGAGATAGCACTCATCTCAAAATTGAAATTTTATTTTTAGAAGCAGGAAGAAAAAAGACCCTCAGACTTCAGAACGGAAGCACTCGAAAGAGTTGACGAGAGGGAGACGCAAGACCGACAAGCTGAAAAAGAAGAGGCGTAAAAATGTGAAGCGCAAAAAGTCGTTCAGGTATGGTCGATCAACCTGAAAGAATGAGCTGAAGTATTTTATCAGCGGAGAGGGGGTCCAAGGAAAATCAACTTTGCTTTTACCCGAGTATGTGCGCGAATGCTTAAGAAAAAGCAAGGAAGAGGTGCGCTTTTTCAAATTCTTAAATTAGGAGCTTTCAAAACAAGCTCACAATTCAGAGCACTGAATATGTGGAAATAGACGGCATTCTTTATACGAAAGGGAAAAGATTAGGTTCAGGTGGAAGTTCCTCAGTAAGTCGTTCTGTGCAATGCGCCGCTAATGTTCTAATGGCTGTTTATGTTAGGTATGGAAGGTCACAAAAGAGGATGGAAATTGTTTTGCCCTCAAAGAAGTAAACCTTCGACGAAATGCGGAGATACTTCGTGGTGAAGCCAAACGGCTCCACATTCTTAGAGATGCTCCCCACATCGTCAATCTCATTACGCAGTAAGTCTAAACACCTAAGGAACTCACCAAAGTCAAAGTCAGTGTCTCTGCAAAGTGGAGTGCTAAAATCATGGTGTTGTAAACACTATATTTCCTTCTCGCTAAATCAGCAGTCGAAGAAGCGAAGAGCATCTACAAAGCCTTATTCTCTCCTAAGTATTTGAGACACTCTCTTCAGTCCGCATTTCGAACACCCATCAATTTCATACCATGTCAAGTGCGAGTATCGCATACAGTCACGATAAAGCTTCGATCAGTGTTGCCAGTGTTACCAGCGTTACGTCACCGGGGTTACGTTCAATCATGTTACCCATGCTATCTGTTTTCCAGCATCGTTCATGTTAGATACCAGTGTTGCCCGTGTTGCCCGCGTTACCGGTATTACCCATGTTATGTGTAACCAGTGTTATCATGTTACCAGTGTTATCCGTGTTAGGCCCCGGACAGACTTCACGCGATTTGATCGTCGCGACTGAATCGCGACGAGACAACTGTTACAACATCATTCCATGCCGATCAACTTGCAATTCGATTGTGATACTTTTCCAACCCGAAATTTTTGAATGTGAAATGAAAATGAATGGAAATGTCGGCGATTGAGTCGCGACGATCAAATCGCGTGAAGTCTGTCCGGGGCCTTACCAGTGCTATCGTTAGTTCGCTTTCGCTAGAGTGGGCGGACCACTGCAGACATGACATGACATGTAAACGATCGATGAACCTCCACCCTAGAGCATTGTTTTTCGTAATCTCTCGCCATCAAAAGCCGCCGCGCGTGTACGTAGACAGTGCTCCGCCCACTCTAGCGAAAGCGAACTAACGATACTCGTGTGGCTGTGCCTCGTGTGTACCTTGTTGAATAAGTGATATCAGTGTTATAGTTGACTGCATGAAATCGCCATGTTGAACGCCCATGAACGTGTTTGCAGGCTAGCATTGGCATTTGTTCCCATGACTCGTCATAGCGCCCGCACTCGGCAGCCGCGGCAGGCACATTCGCGTGCGTTCGAAATATAGCGATATGGTCGATTTTGTGCAGTCGATTTTACCACGTCCTGTGTGATACCCGTGTAGTTATGTTACCCTATTACCAATGTTACCTCCCTTACTTGTGTTGTTAGACTTACCCGTGTTGCTAGTGTTGTTATCGCTGTTGGATAATGAAATGCTCATCACCACAGTCTCATTTCCTCAAACGGAAACTCACCAACTGGTGACTGTTTTTCCATTAAGAAAGAGCGAGAATACCAATAGCAAATACTAGTAACGGATGTGGTACGTATGGCTACAACTCAAATTTTGCGTTTCTAAAGATTCTTCGCTGCAAGAGTGGCGAAAAACCTGGTGGGTTGAAGTGAAGAAGATACATGACTTGATAATACTACAAGTAAAATTTTGTCATTTTCAGCGTGAGGTTTTACACTGCTTGCATTTTACGCATATTTTCGCTTTCCGCGTATCCCCCCCCCCCCCCACTAGTAACGCTAGTAACACTGGTAAGACGAGAACGGGTAAGGCCTCAAGCATAGTTCACACAATTTCATCGCCTGTAATTCTACCAACAACTTCTACGAGTCCAATGCATGCTGAACCTCCCGCATTTCGGTTGGATAGTTTTGTAACACGACTAACCGTGAATAACTATAATATCCAAAATGCAGAATGATCAACATGCAATGGACTTGTAACCGCTGTCCTCGGGAGAATCACGAGGCCAAATCGCAAATATGCTCGAGACCTAACGCCTATAATGTATTCCCGAAATCTACGATTCCATAGCGCCCCCCCCCCTTCATGGCGAACTCTGCTCCACACACCAAATCCAAAATTAGCACTAGGGCCTTCTCCCAAAATCTCGGGATTCTCAAGCAGCAGCTTTGTAATCGGCGAGAACTATAAGCCAGACGAGTATCTCCTTGGATAGAATTTCCACCCATGTGCCCTTAAACATATCCATCTCTTCTACCTTTGAGACATTACTGAACTGCAATCTTATCTCTGATTCCGTCCCGTGCATCGTGTTTGAGTTTCCCAGACAGGGCCGGCACAGACAGTCTGAAAGCAGGCTGGACTTCTTTTTGGAGCAAAAAGCAAAGCAGATATCGTTTTTGATGAACCGGGGCCGAGTACCAAGAATAAGCGCCATTTAGTCGAACACAAGCTTTTCGGACAGGTTATCACACGATTGGCATGCTCTATCGTGTATGGCGAAAAGTGCGCACGATTTGGAAGCAAGACTGAAATAAATAAATTGCTTGTTCATAGCGCACACAGAAGCATATGACATCAAAGTTGAACTGCAATATATAGGAAATTATTTGCGGGAGAATTACGAAAAAAATTTGAAAACTTATGTGAATACCTTTTCCAAATTCAGTCCGTCTCCAGACGGCCACCAGACGATCTGAGATCGTCTGGAGCATATATTTCTGTCACTCCACATAACTTTTGGATTTTTCTATCATGGACGGTTTCAGCGGTAAAAAATCTATCGAGCATAAGACATTTTCATATCATTGCCTTTCCTTCGTTTTTTGCCTTAATTTCTACATAATCGCTTTGTTAGACTGTGAACCAGTAATTGGCTAGATTGCATTGCGCTTCGGGACCGCACCGCGGTTTGCAGATTTTTGAATGGGCGATACGATTTTTTATATATTAGATATCGCGCTCCAATGCCAAACTCTTGTGGATGCGTACTATTCAGCTCCAATCTGAATCTTCAACTTTATCACACGTTTTTTTTCTTTTAGATTACTAAATCTTTCTTGTTTTGCTTTTCCTAAGAAGGTGGGTCAAAAGGGACTTCGTATAACTTCCGAAATTGAGGGAGACTTCGTTTTTAGAAACCCTAGAAAACCGACTCGTGTTGAACTCTGGTCCCAGAATAGAAACTGCACTATTTGACAAGTCGGCGCAATATGAACTTAGAGTCCGTCACCATATCAGCAAGGCTTGCAGTCTGCCTTAATGGGATTAGATCTTGGCACCAGCTGGTATCAGGGAAATTTCAAAACGAAGTCCTTTTTGATCTCGGAAATTTCGTACGAACTCCCCTTTGACACTTAGCCCTAAACGTTAAAAAAACTCTGAAAAAAAGGGGCGTCGACCAAAAAAACGTCGCAATTTCTGTGTCTTACTGGCCGCGAAAACGATATTCCCTTTGCTTTTTGTCCCAAGAGCTATATCCAGCTTGCTTATAAGCCATCTGTGCCGAGCCCCCTGGTCCTGGGTGTGCAATCGGCGAATATGTCAAAGCATTTTGGGATAGAAATAATTTCATTTATGATTATGATGATAACGATGATAATGTTAGGATGTAAAGAACACCAACCTTATCGCTTGAGTGAGCTTCTGCATATTCATGGCGCTTGGAGGTCTTACTACATTCAAACTGATTCTGATCAAAGTCAGCACAGCTGGCTCCAGTTACTCTGTCACCCGTGCCATCTGTGCTGAGCCCTGATCGGGATCAGTCTGAACGTAAAAGTAAGATCTCCAATGGTGCTATGAATATTCAGAAGCTCCTCAAGCGACAAGGTTGATGTTCTTTACAAGCATCTGCTTGAATCTGCAACGCACATTAGGCTCAAAGACGTCCCAAACTGAGGGTGGACCGCTCATACAAGCCCGAATTGGGCTTCAAGGCATGCAGAAAGGACGCTAATTTAATTTGATGATCATGATGATAGGCGCATCTATGACAACTTCACATTGGACCAATAAGTTGGACTTGCTCTCTTTAGACACCCAGTTCGATGGGCGGAGCCAGTCGCTTCAACTTTCTGGCGGTTGTCCCGATTTGGAACTCATCTTTTGCAGCGATACTTGGGCGAATGCATAGTAGGGGCTCAATATTGTAAGCATCAAAATACCGTCATCCCCAAGTCAGGTGGACAATGCCTCCAAACTATTCGGTGAAGTCCCCGGTTCGCCCTTTTATCAGAGTAGGTGCGGGGGTCCTTCTCTCGACGATTAGCCAACATCTGGGAAAGCCGGCGGCGTAGAACCGCGACTGACGGCTTCTATTCCTTATGAGCCTTATCTATCCCTTAGCTTAAGCCCTTTGAGACAAATTTACAACGCCTAAGTTATGAAGGAATTACGAAGGAAGATTACTTCGAACTGGTCTTATCAAGACATACAGGCTGGCCCGCAAGCCTCTAAAGAAATGTAAAGGCACTTTTGCAGCTACCCTATTATAACATCGCAAATTTGTCATACAAGCGATAGGGCTTATCGTTGTTCAGTGACCTAGTCGACAATGGCCTTACTCTCCGCATGATACTTGAATTGGGAGAAGTTGATCTAGAAGTCGAACTAAAACGGCAACAAGGAAAATTTGATGCAAGTATCGCAAGAACTTTTGCCTTGGAGATTGCTATGGGTATTAAGGAAATGCATGACCATTGTAGGCATCGAGAAATACCCCATTTTTGTGTATCGCTATTCTTTTCCAGCAATTATTCATCTTGATATAAAACTTGCAAATATTCTTATAATTGGTGGGTGTATAAAAATAATGGATTTGGGATTATCCGCAATTTTGGCGAATGATGAGGTAAGTTTGAACATGCAACAACTAGCTTAACATACCGCGCATTGGCCTTGATGTATACAGGACGCAGTAATTAGAGACTTTATGTTTGGTTCCAATCGACCACCGGAACAGATCATTCCACGAGGCGATGGGACATACAAGGTGAAGATCTTCAAATTCAATAGCTCTCTATGTTTGCATTATAGTTGACGAAAAAAGTTGATACCTGGGGTTTTGGCTTTGTCGTTTACCAAATGAATTATGGACGCAGACCTTTTTCCGATCTCCCAGGAAAGACTGTGAGTATTGTGTGTTCAGTAAAGTGACACTCAACAAGACATAAACAAGATCCAAGCTCTGAAGCATATTCACTAAATTCGAATTAATTACAACCTACCTACAAGTCGATTTAGATACGCCTAGACAATACATTCAAACATCGTACTCATTGCATAGGTCTTTCGCAAAGCATTACCACTGATAAACAGCAAGTTCCAGATGACGGCAATTCTTGACCCGAATGTCCGATTACAACATGATCTTGAGGCTGACCCTATTCTCACAGAATTTTTAGAAGTACTTGCTTTTTTTGTATCTCGACTTTTTTCTCTGATTTCTTTATTTTGGATGTGCACTATCCGAGACGTGAAAGAACGCGCTTCCATTGAAAAATTACTAGCACATCAATATTTAGCGGAGGTAAGAGTCATAGCTTCAGCGTTTTTTCTAGCATCGTTTTTCCTACAGTAGTTTTCAGGCTACCCCTATTGCCAATCGAGGATGCGCGGGCAAAACAGAAGATATTTTTGGATACAGAAAGAATTCAATGACTCGAATCAAATCTCTAGTTGCTGCAGATCATAGGACAGGTGGAATGAGAACTGCCATAAACTCGGATGGCGGCACAAGTCAAACTACAAACAGTTCGTCAGAACAATTGTCGTGAGCGAAATTGACCCGGAGAGCCCACGATCGACCGAAAACAAACAAATCACAGTTACTATTCTTACAAAGAATTAAATTTGTTACAAATGCTTGGCTTTTGACCTTCCACTTCAATCATTGAATCAGCATTCTAAGGCCCCGGGCAGACTTCACGCGATTTGATCGTCGCGACTGAATCGCGACGAGACAACTGTTACAACATCATTCCATGCCGATCAACTTGCATTCGGTTGTGATACTTTTCCAGACCGAAATTTTTGAATGTGAAATGAAAATGAATGGAAATCTTGGCGATTAGATCGCGACGATTAAGTCGCGTGAAGTCTGACCGGGGCCTAAGGATCATCGTCCCTCATTCACTGAATCAGCATTCTAAGGATGATCATCCCTGTATCCATGTAAGCGCTATAGAATTGGAGATAAATGGCATTATGAGTGCTTTTCCTGCTGTCAAAGAACTGCCAATGGGCAGTTAGCTACATTGAAGCCTAGCCTGTCAGTCGCCTATATTACTCTACATTCTATAAATCAAATGAATTCCAAATCGAGCTGGCATCCCGGGTTCCATCTCGGTATGGAGCCAGTCCATCGTACTTGACATCTTATGTAGCGAAATTCACCTTTCTTTTAATTTCGACTCGTCATGGATTCGATTCTGCCGTCCTTACCATATCTTGATGAGCAGCGGATCAAAATGAGCTTCACCGCTCATCCTTAATGACTATTGTTTGTAATTCTACAAAGTATTGGCTTTAGCTGTAACTGTTCTTGAGCTTTATTAACAACTAGTTGGCTTTCCCGACATAGACCGGGCCATTGTGCTCCTGCACTGCGAGCCCACCCTCCCCCTTTTATATGTTAGCCCCGGACCAGGGCCCGGCACGAGTGAGTTTCTAGGCTTTTCAAAAACGAAGTCCCCCCTGACTTTTGAAAATTTTACGAAGTCTCCTTTGACCCTTGCTCTACCCCCGCCCTCCGATTGTTGGTGGATTCTTGCAATTGGTTTTTGACAAGACCATTCACCTGTTGCAAGCTGCGAATCTCGCAATTTCAGGTCAAACTCCCAAAGAAAAGCCACAAAATCCATAAAATTTTACTTAATAAAGTCCTACATGGTCACAGAACGATCAAAATAGATCACGAGCTGAAGAAAGAAGAAAAAGAGGAAAGAAAGTGAAAGAATCATCAACATATTGCAAAAAAAACTAGAACTGAAAATCAAAATTTAAAGGAGAAGATGCAGAAAGGTTGAAGCTGGGGCGCGATATCTAATAAGGCGATTTTCGAAAAAAGAGGATAAAAACGACGGACAAGGGATGATATAAAAATGTTCCTGTGCTTAGGGATAGATTCTTGGCCGGGGCATCCGTCCATGTTGAAAAGATCCAAAACTTATGTGAAGTGACGAAAATATATGCTCCAGAGGATTTCAGATCGTCTGGTGGCCGTCTGAAAACGACCTAATTCTGGAAAAGATATTACTTCACATAAGTTTTCAAATTTTTTTACAAATAATTTTCCGCAAATAATTTTCTAAGTATACACTTCAATCCTGGTGTCATAGTATCCTGTGTGCGCTGTAAACAAGTAATTTGTTTATTTTAGTCTTGCTTTCAAATCGCACGCACTTTTCACCATACACGATAGAGCATGTCAACAGTGCAACAGTGTGATAACCTGTTCGAAAAGCTTGTGCTCGACAGAATGGCGCTTATTCTTTGTGCTCGCCCCGACTCGTCAAAAACGAGATCCCCTTTGCGTTTTGCTCCAAAAGCGAAGTCCAGCCTGCTTCCAGACGATCTGTGCCGAGCCCTGCCCCGGACAGACTTCACGCGATTTGATCGTCGCGACTGAATCGAGACGAGACAACTGTTACAACATCATTCCATGCCGATTAACTTGCATTTCGGTTGTGATACTTTCCCAGCCCGAAATTTTTGAATGTGAAATGAAAATGAATGGAAATGAAGGCGATTGAGTCGCGACGATCAAATCGCGTGAAGTCTGTCCGGGGCCTTATGGATCTTACCTTGGAACGTCCGCTTCGAAACCGCATCCTCGTAATCTTGAGTTGAAAATGAGCTTCACCGCCCTCCTTTACATGACTATGGCAGAATGCTTGTTTTAACATGATAACCCTTCGATTCCTTAGAAAAACGTAAACAAATCAATAAATCGATAGAAGGACCCAGTGAATCGCCGCAAAAAGTAGCCTAAAACAGTCTTCGGGTTCGAAAACATCTGTGTGCAAACTTTCAGCCCAATCGGTTGAGCGGCGCGCGTTTCTATAATTCGCATACCCTCCAAACGGACAATTTTTGAGATTTATATATATAGAGATTCACCTCAGCCTATAAAACAGCTGTACATCCCGCAATCTTGCTAATAGCTTTGCCCGGTGTTTCGTAAATGCACTGCCACGCTGTCACTTATTAACATTCCAACATTAACCAATTCTCAGTGTTTCTACAAGTAGCTAACAGTAGCATCAAGTCTGCCGAGCTCTTAACTGTAGCTTGAAGAATTGTAATGAGCACTCTTCTCTTCTCACGACGCTCTTCGCTCGGCACCCATATAAAAGAAGCTGGTGATTTCTCATGATGGGTGGTACCTATCGAATAAACGTCTACTCCAACTCCTCGTCGTGCAACCAAAACGGTCAATCCCAAACAACTATGGAAATGTGTGCACAGACACACAAATACACAGATTTTCTGCTTTATAAATATATAGAGATGTAAGGATGGTCGCAATGTATCACCGAGTCGCCGTTATTTTATTTTTGAGTTCTGGAAAGGCGCTGCGTCGTTTACTCAGACATAACCAAGACGTAAAACAAATACTAAAATGCGAAAATTAGCGGGGGTTTTTTCTAGTTTCACTACTTTTACTATTTAGACATTCTCAGCCTTTTTTATTCTACCATACCACCTCTTGGCTTTTCCTTCTACCCTTTTCCTCCTTATGATGAGAAAAAAGACGCTGTTCATTCATGAGGGCCCAAAGTTTCAAGGTCAGGGCTGTCCAACTTGGACCATGGGGTTATCTGACATGCCGGTCACGCATTTCGCATTTATTCCATTACAGTAGTAAGTAAAGGTAGGGGGTCAAAATCACAATTTTCCCCGTTATCTGAATGAGATTGTTTATTAGTACGCTAATCAAGAATACCACATCTTCCAAGCTTATGGCGAATGGAAGGTAGATGGGTCAAAGCGCTAAACCTGCTCAGAACTTCTAAGAGAGGAGGTTTTGTCACGGTAACAACGAGTGAAAAGACCTTCTTGTGAAGCTGCGTTAGGCTAGGATGTATCAGCTATCTTTATCAGCCAGAAAAGTCTTTCTACACAATCGACATCATGTGTCATGCCGAAGATAGTTCCAGACAAAGTTTTAAGCAAGTTTGCCCTTTGAACAGCATTCATCCTTTAGTCCCGCAACGTCAGAGCTTTCCTTATCAAAAGAGAGGAGCGAGCAGCTAAGTCATGTTACTGAAAAAGAAAGTGGCCTGAACGTACAGAACGTATACAAGCTATCAAAGAACCAGAGCACACTCTTGAACTTCTTGGACTCTTGGATTTTTTGTACCTGTTTTACGTCCTAATCAAAAACTAAAACCCACTTTGAGAATTACGCGGCAGCTCCCTGACCATAGTTGCGACAGGGGGAGTGATGGATCTTACCCCGTTCACTTTGAGGCCAAACTCCGGATGGCCCCCTTCACCTGGGCTGAGATTGGTATTGTACTCTGAGAATATGATAAAAATCGTTATTAAAAGGTTTTCAGGCTAAGTACCTCAAACAACAAGTACACTCATAAATTTTACAAAAGACACGGTATCTATGTTTATTTATATTATTTATTTATCCTCGTAGCATTCATTTGGAGAGCAGAAAGTGAGGACAAAAAAGCAGTTGGTACTTGAAGTACATAAAATCCCTCATATCTCGCGGCACAGAAGACCTAGAAAAAAGTCGACGGTCTACGTCGATTCCCCATGATCTCAGCTTTCGAATGGTATACAGCATGTTAGGGCTTCTTTGCTTCATGGCTCTAAAAATCATTTGCTCCGGTAACCGATAAAAGCCAATACATTGGTGGAGCTGGGTGGAGCTTCGCTAATAGTAAATGTCTCCACCCCATTTTCGAAGACTGGTTAGCTTTTTCGCCCAGCAATCTATATACCATTCGAAAGCTTAGGAAAAGGGGATTCGACTTAGACCGTCGACTTCTTTCTAGCCACCCTCTACCGAGAGATACACCGCATTTTATCTGAAAACATGGTCATTTTCAACAGCAGATTTCTGCCAAATGAAGACCTAATCACTGCTGATTATCTATCTGTGTTAAAGAGCTAGTCTTCATTAACAAACGTAGACCGTCGACTTTCTCGTAGCATTCATTTGGAGAGCAGAAAGTGAGGACACAAAATTAGTTATTTTTTGAAGCACATAAAATCCCTCATATCTCGCGGCACAGAAGACGTAGAAAAAAGTCGACGGTCTATGTCGATTCTCCATGATTTCAGCTTTCAAATGGTATACAGCTGTTAGGGCTTCTTTGCTTTCCGGCTCTAAAAAGCACTTGCTCCGGTAACCCATAAAAGCCAACACATTGTATAGGTCGTCCCGAAAGTTCTTGCGCACGATTTTCAAAAATTCATAACTTCTGATTTTTCCAACCGATTTGACTGCTTCTATTTTCGTATGAAATAGTAAGTCATGTTTTTTATAATGACATCTTATCTGCTTACTAATGGTCATTTGTTGCATAAATAGGAGCGATAGAAGAAAATTGGTCAAAATTTGAATTTTCTGTGTAGGGTCATGAAAAATCGGAGACTTGCAACAAAAATCGGAGCAGTCAGTATTGTAGGTTCTTTCACCAGCTCTTTCTAACAGTGCAAAGTTTGCGCCGATTGAGCGCCTCTGTGAAAAGTTATGATTTTCGAGCAAGCAATACAAAAGGGCGAATTTGATTTATTTTGGCATTTTTCAGGG